CCTCCTCCTCCATAGGGAACCCCCTCCCGCACCTCTGCCCCCGTCCTCCTACTTGTTGTAAAGTACGATGTCAGGTCTCCACACGTAGCTGCTGGGGATCTGGATGCTGTCAATGCCACCGTAGTCTTCCTTGTCCCAGCTTAGGTAAGCATCCACCCACACCTGCCGGATCCACAGGTAAGCGGTCAAGATTTGGTTCCTCTCATCCTGGGACGGAAGGGAAAAATTAACGGCTGCCCCCACCACCACTCCACCCCCGGAGAAAGGGGGCAGGTCCTGGGATGTGGCAGGTCGCTCTGAGAGGGACCAAGACCTGTAGAAGAATAGAATAAGGATAGTCTTGGGATTCCATAGCATAGTATAAGACAGAGGTCTTCAAAGTTGGCAGCTTTAAGACTTGTGGACTTCAACTCCCAGAATTCCACAGCCAGCATAATTTACTCTCTTGTCATCCCTTCCTCTGCAATCTCTCCACTTAGATCAGAGGTCTTCAAAGTTGGCAGCTTTAAGACTTGTGGACTTCAACTCCCAGAATTCCACAGCCAGCATAATTTACTCTCTTGTAATCCCTTCCTCTGCAATCTCTCCACTTAGATCAGAGGACTTCAAACTTGGCAGCTTTAAGACTTGTGGACTTCAACTCCCAGAATTCCACAGCCAGCATAATTTACTCTCTTGTAATCCCTTCCTCTGCAATCTCTCCACTTAGATCAGAGGTCTTCAAACTTGGCAACTTTAAGACTTGTGGACTTCAACTTCCAGAATTCTTTAGCCAGCTCTGCAGAATTGTCTATGTTGGCTGGAGAATTCTGGGAGTTGAAGTCCACAAGTCTTAAAGTTGCCAAGTTTGAAGACCTCTGTCTGGTCTAAACGGAATAACCGTTTATTCTTTTTAAATATTTCTCCCCCTACTTTCCTTTTTCAACACGACTTTGGCAAGTTCTAGAATGAAGGCATCCACTGCAACCGGTTGAAAAACATAACGAAGGAAAAATGACCTCAACAGGCTTTAAAAGAAGGAACAAAAGAATTTGGAATTTGGAAAGCTTACCTCGTAGTGATAATTCATGCAGGTCAAGTCCTTCCAGCAACGGTCCCCTCGGATTTTAATCATCCCCTGCGGGAGAGGAGAAAAATGACCGCTCCGAGGTTAGTATTTGCCCTTCTATTCTCAGGAAATTTTGAACAAAATTACACATAAATGTAGATATTAATATACATTGAATATATTCTGTATTATGACAGCATTTCTCAACCTTGGCAACTTAAAAGATTCTGACTGGGGAATTCTGGGAGTTCGAAGTCCACCCATCTTCAAGCTGCCATGGCTGAGAAACACTGATTTATGAAGGATTTAACTTATTACATTATCTATTAATTACATATCAATGTATTGAATTATATATGAACTATATTACTACATCAAATTATATATTAATTTATATTAACAATTAATATATTTCAGCTTTTCAAACTATCTATTAATTAAGTTTCTATTAAGATAACACACATTCCAACTTCTTTATCCTGCTCACCAGAGGTGGAATTCAGCCGGTTCGGACCGGTTCAACAGGTAGCGCAAATCACGGGTGGCCTGCCCACCCACCCCGGCTCTACGCCGTTTTTGAGGCCAGGTGCATGCGTGGAAGGCCCATGTGTGAGCAAAGCACATGCGTGGAAGGCCGGGCGCATGCGAGGAAATGGTGCGTGTGAACTGGTAACAAAATGTGAAACCCACATTGCTTTGAATAACAAAGTGTTGGAGACCCTTTGTTTTAGACAAGACGCCATGCAAAATTCCCAGCTACGGGAGCTGCTCTTTTGCATTATTATTGTTGTTGTTGTTGTTGTTGTTGTTGTTGTTNGAGAGAGACAGGAAAGGAGCAAAGCTCTTAATTGCCAAGGCAAAGAAATGAAGACAGGAGAAAATATTTGTATCAGCATTCCTATTCCTGACCCTCCTGTCCGTTCCATCCACATACCTGGGTCCCGTCTCCTCTGATCCCCAGGGCCTCATCTGTGCACCCATCCCATCGCCTGATCCTCCAGTCTCTGCCCCACCCCCTCCCACCCTGACCCCTGCCCTCTCCTTGCCTCCCAAGTGCCGACGAGCAGTTCACCGGCTCCATGGAGACCAACGTGGTGATCCGCTGTGACGGGCGGATCAGGTGGGACTCGCCGGCCATCACCAAGAGCTCCTGCAAGGTGGACGTCTCCTATTTCCCCTTCGATGGGCAGCAGTGCCCCCTGACCTTCGGCTCCTGGACCTACAACGGCAACCAGATCGACCTGCTCAGCATGCAGGAGACGGGAGACCTGACGGACTTCGTGGAGAACGTGGAGTGGGAAGTTCTGGGGATGCCGGCCAAGAGGAACGTCATCACGTACGGCTGCTGCTCGGAACCCTATCCGGATGTCACCTACATGCTGCTGCTCAGGCGGAGGGCCTCCTTCTACGTCTTCAACCTTCTGCTGCCCTGCATCATGATCTCCTTCCTGGCCCCGCTGGGCTTCTACCTTCCGGCAGACTCGGGCGAGAAGGTGTCCCTGGGGGTGACCGTTCTCCTGGCCCTCACCGTCTTCCAACTCCTGGTGGCCGAAAGCATGCCGCCCTCCGAGAACGTGCCCCTGATTGGTGAGTAGAGAGCCAAGGTCCCCCGGTGTAGGTCCTGCCACCGTCCCGTTCCCACACAGGATGACCTGGATGTCTTTGGGGATCCACATCGTGGTTGTCCCAAAAGTGCTTTTCCAAAAAGGTTAGGCTTTCGTTATGTCTAACTTAATGAAAAGAAGGACTGAGGTGATGTGATAGCCGCGTTCCAATATCTCAGGGGCTGCCCCAAAGAAAAAGGAGTCAACCTCTTCTCCAAAGGCCGCGGAAGGCAGATGGGAACTAATCCAGGAGAGATTCAACCTGGGACTACAGAGAAACTTCCCGATAGAACAATTGGACAGTGGAACAGAAGCTGCCTCCAGAAGTTGTGGACGATCCAACACTGGAAGTTTTAAAGAAGAGATTGGACACCCATTTGACTGAAACGGTGTAGGGTTTCCTGCCTGAGCAGGGGGTTGGACTGGAAGACCTCCAAGGTCTCTTCCCACTGTTATTCTGTCAAGGCCACCGGACTTTCTTGGGTTTTATTCCTTGAAAATGGTTCCCTTCTCATCCAGGAAGCTTCTAACACAGTGTTTCTCAACGTTGGCAACTTGAAGATGTCTGGACTTCAACTCCCAGAATTCCCCAGCCCGCGAATGCTGGCTGGGGGATTTTGGGGGTTGAAGG